TACAGGCTAAATAACTACCATAATGATGGTGGTAACAACAAACAAACAAAAGAGTGAACAAACAAACGAACAAAAGAATGAACAAACAAACAAAAGAATAAACAAACAAAAGAATGAACAAACAAATAAACAAAAGAATGAACAAACAAACAAAAGAGTGAACAAACAAAAAAACAAACAAAAGAATGAACAAACACACAAACAAACAAAAGAGTGAACAAACAAAAAAACAAAACAAACAATAATAACAATAATAATAATCATATTGTAGACATCTTCAAAAGTGAAAACATGCACCCGACTGACCCTCTGTATTTATGAACATGGGATTACTGACTCCAACATTATATGAAATTTGACTTAAATTATGCAACACATTGTTGTTGTTGTAGTTGTGTAAACTGAAGTTATTGTTATTGATGAAACTGTTGTTGTAATTAATGCTACTGAATCTGTCACTCGCACTATTGCTATGTGTGGTGTTGTTGAATGGGTGTGCAATAGTGATGACGTCAATGCCATCATCATCTTCATCCATATCATCATCATCATCTTCATCATTGCTGTTGTTGTTGTTGGTGTTGGTGGTGGTGGTTTTAACAGTCATTTCGACGTCATTATCGATGCTTGTGTTGTTGTTGTAATTAAGATTAGCGATCAGGCTGTTGTTGTTGTTGTTGCTAGTGGTGGTGGTAGCGATGTTGTTGTTGCTGATGTTGTCGGTGACGTCATCATCTTCGATGCTTTTGTTGATGTTAATGTTGGAGTATCGGTGCTGAGCTCCGGCCAGTGTCACAATGAAGTTCGTTTTTTGTTGATGTTGTTGTTGTTGATACATCCTGCAATAAACAATAACAAAAATAACATCAATAACAACAATAAGAACAATTTCAACACCGACAAGCCACTACAAACAACAGTCGCAACTAAAAAAATGAATGCATGAAACTTAATCATCAAAGTGATCATCAATTCCGACTTCGACTGCCAACCAATAAATAGTAAAAGATATTATTATAATTAAATGAACGAATAAAACATAAAAATATTTATTAATAAAAATAATTTAAAGATGAAAATATTTGAAATGAACACCGACTGACCCATTGTCTTTGATGAAAATCTTCCTCGTAACTTCTTCCTCCTCTTCCGCATCCATGTTATCTTTAACTATACATGATCTTCTGTCAGTCAGGAAAGACTTACCGTCGCATGAGTAGTCATCAAATCCAATCCTGGAGTCCGGGTTCGAATCCATGTCGAGGTAGTTCTCGTACGGGTAGGCCAACTCATCATCGTCGTCGTCGTCATCATTGTTGATGCTGTCGCTGTTGTTATAGGTGCTAATCTTGTTGATGTTATTATAGTTGATGTTGGCAGAATAGTTGCTGTTGTTGCCATGTGCGTGGAGTTTGCTGTCGTATCCAACAACATTATTGTCCTTGTTGCTGCTTGTGATGATGTTGTTAGTCTGTGGTTGCTGCAGTTGATGCTGGCGCGTCAAATCTGTGGAATGTGGTATGTAGTGGAGTGGATATGATCATGTGCGTGTGCGTGTATGTGTGATAGAAAATGTCTGTGTGTGCATGTGTGTTTGTCGAATGGCCAAAGAGTGTTGTGTGTGTGTGTGTGTGTGTAAAAGAGAGAAAAAGTGTTGTGTAAGTGTGTGAGAGAGAGAAGAAATGTTTTGTATGTGTGTGTATGTATGAATGTGTGTGTCTGTAGCTGTGCGTGAGACAGCTTGCAGACCAGTTAACAAATATGATAAAAACAATGACAATGTGCATGTATATGTGTGTGTGTGTATGTATGTGTGTTTATGTATGTGTGGTGTGCGTGTGTGTGTGCGTGCAATAATTATCATCATCATAATCATCCTCATCATAATCACAACTTCAGTCATCACCATTACCATCATGGTGGTTC